TCCCCCCCCCCCCCCGCCCAAGCCATGAAATCACGTTACGTTACCTCCGCCTTGCCCTCGAAGTGCATGATGAGCGTGGCGTGGAGCGGGGAGACCGAGAAGCTTCTCTCGACACCGTTAAACTCGAGGTTCAGCTCCACCATACCCAACTTCGGTTGAGCGCGATGAGAGCGAGAGCAGGTTAGAGACGGGGACACACCCAACATGACAGGGGGAGAGTTAAACAACGGAAGGGGAGGGTAAGACGGGAGAGAGAATTAAATAAAAATACAAAAAGACAGTTGAAAAAAACTAATGCGAAAGATAGACGAGAGTGTTCACGCCCACAACATAAAAAGACAAGACGGTTCAACCGGAACACACAAAAATTGGCGCAACCGCTGCAGAAGGAAAACGAGAAACACAATAATACTGTAATACTGTGTAGCCTTCCCCACACATGTTGCAGTGAGGCCATTGTAATATCCAAACAACAGCAGTAGTGCACCTGTTTCTTCCACACGAGGAGACGAGGGTTCTTGATCACGGAGTAAGCCTTACCGAAGGCCGCCAGCCTGTCCTGCATCCTTGGGTGCAGCCGCATGTCCTCTCCAAGCAGGTGTGGCCAGAAGTGCTGGCTAACCATGACAGCATCAAGACACCTGCGTGTGTGTGTGTGTGTGTGTGTGTGTGTGTGTGTTTTTATTAGCATCGACCGCGCTAACCGGCTGACCAATGAAAAGACGTCAGTGCCAGCGGGTAAAAATCAAGGTCCCTGGAAGGGGGCCAAAATTCGAAAAATGCGCAATGCGCTTGATGCGAATGCCAATACGACTCTCTCCACATGTTCTTTCACGTAGACACACATCTCAGCTACACAAATGCCCTCGCTCGAACCTAGGAAGCCACTGATGCAAAGAGCGGAGGACAGCAAAAGGGTTATTTCAAGCCCAGCCGAAGCCAGGATATCGTGGAATGCTTCATCTCCCAATTTGATTATCGTACACTCCCAAGATCCAACAGTCATTGTGTCAGCAGCTAGATGACTCACACAAAACAGCAACACATACACTGCCATAGCTCCACACATGCCCTCGTGTGTGTGTGTGTGTGTGTGTGTGTGTGTGTTCTTGTTATAAGTATCGACCGCGCTAACCGGCTGACCATTGAAAAGACGTCTGTCTCATGCGGTTGAAAACACCCAATGCTTCTTCAAGACCATCACTCGGAATCCCATGAGGCGATGTCATGGGTAAGTCTAAGGTGTGTGTGTGTGTGTGTTTGGCGACCAAGCATGGAAGCAGCAAGTATTTTGATATCGTTAGCCACAGGACTAGACTGCGATCGTGGTCCCTGTATAGAGCCGGCATCACAGCAGAAAGCATAACTTCAGTACTGCGGTGAGTGCCCCCCCCCACTTCCTTTGTCTTGTAATCGCGAGAAGTTGTTACGGGGGTCCCGTGTGTGTATGTTGTTCTTGAACTCCTTCTGTCTGTTGTTCCAGTTTGGAAGGACGTCCGTCAACATCTTTCGTGAGCATGGCAGAGGCATTGTTGACCCAAGGCGCCGGCAGCACCAAAACCCACTTACACACACACCATTCCTGGGACGTTTTTTCAGGCCGCGTAGACCCCAACGGGGGCCCCGCAAGAGAAGACACACGCCCACCGCAAAAAAAAAAAACGCGGGTTCAGCAGCATTGTGCTAAAATAGAGGTACAAACGAGGATCGAGGATATAGTGGTACGGCTAACCGTGTGGTACATAGCTTACCGGGCGTCCTCCTTCTGAGCCTCGCCGGTCTGCCGTTGGGCGAGTCGGTCCTGCACGTTGGCGTTAACTCGCTTCGATTCTTCAACGTCCCGCACCTTGCGTCCGGCAGAGGGGTGGACAAACAACGAAGTGGTGAGATCAAGGTACACACACAACCGACAACGACGACTTGTACGCGAAAAAAGAAACGCATCCCCACCAACCGCTGGTTGGTGCCGTATGGTCGGCTGGAGAAAAGCATCGGCTGCTCGAGAGAGCATCGGTCCATGACCAGCGTGAAGGGTGCAAGGGCAGCAGCACCGCAACCACCGGCATCACCACCGGCAACAGTCATTACCGCCATCACTGTTGTGCCGCACCAACACTCCAAAACAGGAAACATGACGCCGCCTCTGCCACCGCAGCAACCAACACTAGCCCTAATACAACCACCATCGACACTCCGACCCTAAACCTAACCGTAACCGTAACCGTAACCGTAACCCTGACACAACCACCACCGACACCCCGACCCACCGCCATTCACAACAAACACCTCCCATTGGCTACCACCGCCGCCATCAACAACACAAACAGCAGCACTTGCAGATAGCGCCCGCGCTCAAGAACTCAGCAGTTAAGAAATCGAGACTCGCACAAAATCAGAAGCTAAGAGCTTGAGACCATTTGTGAGCTCGGTTAATAGCCCCACACTAAAACCAATACAGCGGCCATTTGTAGCCCACAAGAGGATGAGCAGCAAAATAAGAACCCCAGCCTCGGCCGAAACTAGAGGTTCCTCAAGTGCGGGCGCCATCTGTAGTGACCACAACGACGACCACAAGAAAAAAAAAATTGGCTTTACACAGCAGCACGGCAACCACCAGCAACTGACCATGATCTCGCAGTGGCGCATGCTGGTCTCCCCGAAGCGTAGCTTAAGCAGCTCGAGGTTCTGAACCTCCTTGTCGGTGTCGTACGACAGGTTGCCGACCAGCTTGTCGGCCAGCATCAGGCGGTACTCGGTTACGAAAAGCTCCTTTTTTTTGAACCAGACAGAAAAAGAGAGTGAGACAGAGACAGAGTGAGAGACAGACAGAGACAGACAGAGAGACAGACAGAGAGGGAGAGAGAAGAGAGAGAGAAGGACGGCGAATACGTTGTCCAGGCAAAGACAAACAGGGTTAAGTGGAGATGCCACAAGTTGGCCGGGGGAGGGGGGGGGAGATGTCGACCAATCACTGCGGATAAATCCAGGAAAAAATCGGCATGGTTTCTGTGTTGTGATCTCCTTTAGACTCAAGCCCCAACTATCTTGGCTTGCATTCTTGGTGTTGAAAAAAACACTGCACAATGTAAGAGCTGCGATATGGTCGAGCCGGCACATCAACCCAGCAAACCGAGTAGGGCAAGGACGCAGAAGCTGTGTGTCGTTGATGGGGAAAGTTGTGTTCCGGAAGAGAAACCGACGCTACTGCCTGTACGGTAAACAAGACCTGCTTCGAAAGAGAACATCCACCCCCCTCTGGCCACAGATGAAGCTTCATGTAAAAAAACGTCAAAAAGTTCGGAACCCATGCACGCTTGCGTAAATAGGTACCGACTCAGGCGGCCAATGCTACGCCAGAAAAAAACGTAACACAAAATCAATGACAAAAAAACATAATAAAAACACTGTAACACGATCAACACCAAGAAGCCCGGTTACATATACGCCCGCCGCATACGTACACACCGAAAGGCTGGCAGACTGGGGCAAGAACAGATGGGACGAACGCACACACGGGGTCCCAGATCGTGGTAGCCTACAGCAGCATTTCGTGTTTTCAACCGCACCGAGACTGGCGTCTTTTCCTTGGTCAGCCGGTCGATGCTCCCAAAAAAAACATACACACACACGCAAGAAGGGCTCAAATGACGCCCCGGACAGCACGAACCTTGCTGCCGTAGATAGACACGAGCATGCTCAGGATGTCTCCTCCCCCCCTGCTACCCTTCGTCGGGTCCGCGTCCCGGGAGGCCGGCTCCCAGTTTGGAGCCACGGGGCCCCCGTCATCCTCGTCACTCGCATCGTCTCGGTCGAGAGGTCGCGCGTCCTGTAGGGGATTTACATAAGAAAGAAGCGTATTGTTAAAATAAGAAAGAAACAAACAATTTACGGGATCGCGCGTCCTGTGCGGGATCTGCATAAAAAAAAAGCAGATCGTCAAAACAAAAAAGAAACAAGAAATTAAGGGATCGCGTGTCCTATGGGGGATATACGTAAAAAAGAAACAGATCGTTAAAAAAACAGAAAGTAAGGAAGATGAAATGAGAAGGAGGGAATAGAGTGGAGACAAAAAAATACACTCGAGAGGAAGTGCGCGTTTACATTATCGCACCGGAAGGGAAACGAAATAAATTACAATGAAAATCAAGGGCGTACTAACGTCGAACAAGAAAAAAGAACGAAAAACAAAAAACGAACAAAAGAAAGGAAGTGGAACAGACCCGAAACACAAGCGACCAATGGTTGTAGTTGTTTCACCTTGACAGCGTCATTAAGTGGTCTGAAAAAAGCTCGCCATGATACGCAGAACGGGACGAAGACAAAGGGGGAGGGGGCGTACTCTCGTGTTTTGCATACCTTAGCGGTTAGACCATTGACCACGCGTCCTCGAGAGGACGGAGCATTGTTCCCACAGGACCGATCACCGATGGCCAATCGTTCCTTTCTACTTTGCCAAAGGTGGCTCAAAAATGTCTTCCCTAGTCTGTCTATCCTAACGATAGCCCTTTCCGCCTTTTCAGCCCAGCTCCCATGCCCCAGTACAGCTACCGTCCTTTCCTCTCTATTCCATGCCTC